AGTCAGGCCCTGGGCCACGGTGCTGTTGCAGACATGGGGCTACAATCGCACAGGGCGAGAGCCCCTGGAGCTGGCTGCAGGCCCACCCGCCCGCCTCTGCAAAGCCCAGGTTTTAGTTTCTCTTCTGCCTTTCCAATCCCTTCTTCAGGCTCTACTCCCTCCTCACCTCTCTAGGGCAGAGCTAGTAAAGTTGGGGGCCTGGGGGAACCCAAGTCAGCCCTTTCCCCAGAGCCTCCTGCCAGGGTACACAGCCTCACTGGGCAGCTTGGTCCCTGGGACCAGGCCCCCACCTAGGTGAGCACCCAGCTCTAGGGCCCATCTTCCAAGGGCACACAGGGGCCCTCTTGTAACTCCTGCAGCTAAAGCCAAGGGGGCAGGCAGACCTTGGCCTTGAGGCCTTGTAGACCTCAGTAAAGAACTTGAACCTCAAGGCACGGGAGGTCCTGTTAGTTTTTGAAGCAGGGAAGTGATGTGGTCAGATTAAAAACAAGCTCTCTGGGGGCTCCTAAGGAGAACGGCAATCTCTCGTGGGAAAAATGCAGACTCGAACTAGACCAGTGGCTGCAGGGGCGTGGGGGAAGACACAGGTTCCAGTGCGTGGAGTAAAGAGGGTGGGACTTTGTGACAGGTGGACATGGGAGCTGCAGACAAGGTGAGGATTAATTGACCTCCAGGTTTCTGGCTTGAACTTGGGTGGAAGGTAACACTAGTTCAGATTAAGACTATGGAGCCAGCCAGTGGCATGGTGGTTAAGGCAGCTGAATCCCACACGGCTGACTGGATGGTTTGAGTCCTGGTCCCAGTGACTTGAAAAATAATGCTAGACATGTGTGCACGAGTACCCCAAATCCCAAGACAATGGATTGTGGTGTGGCCACCCCCTGTGGTGAGTGCTTTCTCACTTTCTGTCTCTGGAGAACACACATGCCTTATAGCAAAACACTTCAAAAAACAAAACTAAAACTAAAAAAAAAGATAAAGAATATGACAGAAGTCCATTTGGGGGCAAAGATGAGTTTCAGGAGCTGGAAGTTGGTGTGGTGGATAGGGTGCTGGGCTCCCACATGGCCGACTGTGGTTCAAATCCCAGACCTGGTGGCTTGCCTTCTTATTTTCCCTCTAGCTCTCTCTCTCACTTTGTCCCTCTCTGGTCAAATTTTTAAAAAATTAAAATTGAAAATAAATAA